GTGATATTAATGATATTGTTCCACTATTTCCACATTCTCATTGAAATGGGCACAAATATGAATCTCTTCCAATCCATTGCTCAAGTTGCCACCTTCCAAATTTTGGGGCATAGATGAGTGAACTCTTTACAGTGCCACATCAGTTTGTCGAAATATTTCAATTTGTATCATTATTTCCAGGAGTCTTGTTCCTCACCATGGCCTTCATTTCAGTGTGGACTTCTTCCTTCAGCACCGTTGTTTCTTGATCATATGCTACTTTTTGCAATGGTTGAACATTTCTTTTTGGTAGAATAACTGTGTATTCCTTCCATCCTCTTTTGATGTTTTCTGTATTCTTTCAATATTTTGCCCATGTTGGTGTTGTTTTATGTTGTTGAGTTGGTTCTGACCCATAGCGACCCTGTGTTGGGTTGCCAAGGAATGACTGGTGGGTTTGAACCATGACCTTGCAGTTAAATGGACTTTGTGGTCCAGTGCATTGTCTTGAATTTTCCTGTAGCGCCACGCAAGGACTCCATAGAATCCTTCAATATTGCAAGATCAGGATTGAATTTGTTCTTCAGTTCTTTCAGCTTGTGTGTTCTTTCTTCCCATTTGGTTTTCTAACTCTAAGTCTTTGCACATTTCCTTATAATCCTTTACTTTGTCTTCTCTTTGAAATGTTCTGCACTTTAGTTCCTCATTTCTTTCATTCACTTCAGCATCTCCTCTGACATCCATGTTTGTCTTTTCTTTATTTGTCTTTTTAATGATCTTTTACTTTCTTCCTGTATGTTCTTGATCTCATCCCACAGCTTTTCTGGTCTTCTGTCATTAGCATCTAATGCATCAGATCTGTTCTTGAGATGGTCTTTAAATTCAGGTGGGATAGTTTCAAGGTCATATTTTGGATCTAGTGGAGTCATTTTAATTTCCTTCATCTTCAACCTGAACTTGCATATAAGGAATTGATAGTCTGTTCCACAATCTGCTCCTGAACTTTTTTTTTTTTTTTGCAGATTATATTGAGCCTTTTCACTGTGTCTTCACACATATTTATTCAATTTGATTCCTGTAATTCTTTCTGGTGAGGTCCATGTGTATAGTATTCTTTCATATTGCTTTAAATATATATTTGCCATGAATTAGTCTTGCAAAATCCTGTCATCAGATCTCAAACATCATTTCTATTACCAAAATTATATTTCCCAACTACTGATTCTTCCTCTTTGCTTCCAAACTTTGTATTCCAATCATCAGTAATTATCCATGCAATCAATGCAAAGCTAAACAATATTTTTATATACCTAAACCCATATAAAATACCCTCTACAGTGAACCCTCAAGAAACGAATTGTTAAATTTTTTAAAAAAGTGCTTTTGCTTTTCTTTCCTTCTATGACTCTTGTTCCTTAATTAATTTACTGTTTTCAATGTGTTCTAATACAGAGTCGCTATGGATCGGAATCGACTAGATAGCACTTAACAACAACAATATGAGGTCCTAGTGTGGCACCATAGGTTAATATGCTGGACTGTAAAGTAGGTTTGAACCTCAAGGTCAGAGGTTCAAGCTCACCAGCTTCTCCTTGGAAACCCAATACATAGTTGCTATGGGTCAGAACCAACTCAACAGCACTTAACAACAACAATATGAGGTCTTAGAGTCCTAGTGTGGACTGTAACATAAACTCAGAACTGCCAACTGCAAGGTCGATGGTTCAACCCCATTAGTTACAGCTCAGAAACCCAATATATATAGAAGAGGATAGAAAACTTCCTAATACATTCTATGAAGCATAACCCTAATATCAAAGCCAGGGAAGGACACCACTAAGAAATAAAATTATA